AACTTTCAGGATCTATTCTTATCGCCTAATTCTTAAGACACGGTCAGTCTCAGCGCTCAATATAGAAGAGGCAAGATTTCCGATAAATAAAAAAAATCTGCCTGGTCGTTGCTAAATTTATCCCAGATCCTTTTGGTTCACAGGAGAGTTGACAAAATAAAGCTTGNTTTCGTGAGCCTAGATTAAAGCAAGTTTCTTGCACAGTGAAGCACCACATGGGAACCGGGAACCTGATATCTGAAAAATAGGTTAGCTAACTGGTAAAAATGGCGTTATTTTTGAACCGGTTGATTACAAAATGACCTGCCAACAAATCCGTATAGTATGTTGAGTTGATTCAAATTTTAGAAACAAGGCATATTGGTGACAACTACCTTAGTCGTTGGACCATCATTTAAGGGTATGTGGTATTGCGTCAGAACACCGGGTGACTATCGCAGATATGCACTAGTACCAGTGTTATTACCCCTAGGAAGGATGAGGATTTTATCAACTTCTCAGGTGTTGTCACGTGGGTAGCATTTTTACTTGTTTTCCACCTTTCAGGATCCAGGTTACATGGGCAGCTCGTTCCATAGATTCGCATTTATAGGGATCTCTGTGGAATCCATGGATGAGACAGATTTTGTACGATAATTTCGAATTTTTCAATTCCGGTTTTACCCGGGGTTAGATGCACCATATAAATATATATATATATATATATCATTCCACAATGGATTCCGATCCAGTACTAACTCCGTTCCACGTGAGTTATCGCACGCGATTGGTAGTAGTAAGAATTTTTTATTCATCACCATAAACCTTCACTCCATAAAGGGAACACGCAGTTAGGACTGAGAACAGAGAATGGCATACAATATCCCTTTGGAAAACACACGAAATATCTCGGAACACCACACTAATCACCGGTACGTGTCTATCTCTCTATCCGGATTATCTAGGTGCGAGAAATGTCCGAAGAAGCACTCGAAGTTAGCCGGAAGCTGGACAAGCAATTGAACTATGTACGATAATCGGACCGAGTTTGAGTGAATCGGTTTACGGCAGATCGGTATGAAATCGGAAGGCCTCTTTCATTTTGTTCAGGATCGTACATCGTTCACCAAATCAAACGTAGTTGCCGTGAAAGAAGACTACAGCCAAGTGATACTGGTATGAAAACTACTTTCTTTTGTAATTTGTGTCTTTGGCACTGTTGAGGAATCTATCGGACAGCTCTGGGATAAAACCGGGGCAGTTTTGGTCCGGTGAAAACGTCACCTAATTGTTACCCGGAGTGTGTATTCGAACCCCCTCATCCCCGCTCCCTGACTTTTACCATTCGGAGTCGAATGGTAGCCCAATTGATTGATCGCTTCCCCCGTCCTGAAAGTTGTATCCTTGTATGATCAATGAAAGGGGGTAGAATCGGAAAGGAAAAAGGCAGAAGAAAAAGTAGGATTCACTTACTGATTCATACTACTGATTTGAATTGACTTGACATTCTCGAGCGACTGAGAAAATGCTTAGTTCGTTTCATGGTGATGTGCTATCCACAGTCCTGATACGAAACAAACAATACCCACTAAACTGGCCTACTCAAGCAAACTGGTAGAGTCCACATGAGAAGTCCGCTATCGGGGAATTGACAGCGATTTGAGCTACGGTCAAATAACCGCGAACAGGTGATGAAATATGAGAACAACAAAACACAATGCGGATGTGAGGTAACTTAACGCCCATCATTCCGAAAAGCCCTCATTGGTTCATCGGTTTTATCCACGAACGGGGTTCTTTTCTATCTATTTCGTTCAGACTATCGCTTATTGAGATTTAACGTTGCGAATTGATAAATATATTTATATTTCTGAATTCCACTTATCCAATTTGTGAGAGTAAATAGAAGACAAATACTGTGAGGTGCTGACATCTGATTTCATTTTCCTACTCACTACAATGTTAAACAACCTAGTATTTAAACGGGAAAATTTTGATAACGACAGTGGTTTAACAGACAACAGTCAAAGGAGGCTTGGACGGAAAAAATAGATCAACGCTGTGTCCAGTTGTCGTGATTTGTTCTGACACTGATGACTTCGGATTTCTCCCATCATATTGACCTCTGGGATTGTGCTGGGTCATTGATTGTGCTAACCATTTTGAATGTGTTCGGGCATCCGTTGTGACAGGACCCGACTCGTTCTGCCGATTTAAGTACCACCGCAATTGTAGGTGAACTGTTGATTGACATGTGAAGCAGAATCAGGCGGCAGATCCGGATTTCGGTTATCCAGAAGAAGTCACTGGGTATACGGTATCGATTGAAGCTGTACGACTGGGGATGTTTGACACGATCCTGCCTTTAGCTTTCAACATACAGCATTCATTAGATCATCACCCATCAAAGCCATTTCTTCGGTACCTCTCAGATGGGATGAACCGGTGGCCTAATTTGCCATGCAAACCAATAAATTTCTTTGGATCGAAGTTATCTAAAAGCGTCCTTCGCATGTAGTCCTTTTCTTCTTGAAGCAAATATTCCTGGCACGATAGAACAGAGTTTCCACCAAACCTCTTTTGTACCTCCCGGAGTTAGTGTCCACTACATATGGTAGACGGATCGGTGTAAGATCCCATCTTTTCGCCTCCTGATCTTCACATGGTTCTCCTCAAATGAAACAGAAAGATTGGGACGAAATGATTAGTGTCAGTAAAAAACAAAATTTCATCGACTTAAAATCTGTACAAACCAGCCGTTTAAATATTATCTTGTAATTGCCTTTCAACCAGTCTCAGAAATAAGTTAGCTTATTGACAAAATATTAAAAATCGGTTTTCGTAGCTCGGGTGAACTGAATTCCATTTCGCCTGTTCGCCGAGCTTGGCAATTNAATTGCCAAGCTCGGCGAACAGGCGAAATGGAAGTCAGCTTATGTTGGACCCAGAGGACTGAACATTGCTACATCGTCAATTTCCTAGAGGGCGCTGTTCCTTGAAATTCTCAGTGCAGATCTTTTAAATGAACAATGGGAATCAGAATTTGTATATTCATTGAAGATATATAAATACATAAAGCTCGAAGAAACTGGAAGATACCCGTGAATTGCATCAACAAGTCCATTCGTCAAATAAGCTTGTTCTCGGTGCATCATTTACTACGGTCAAATACAACACTGTTTTATAAGTCACGAGATCACATAATTCAAGGGGGCAGAAAAAAATAGACAATGTCTTTGTGTACGAATAATATGGATACTATGATAAGGGGTGCACGAAAGTTCAAATCATTCCGCAAATGTCATTTGTACTATCTAATGAATCAACTACCTAAACGATTTGAAACTCACTTGATTACCGGATTTATGTCACTCTACTAGTTCATGGAGGAATTTTTCAATTTAACGTTTCTGAAGTAGTCACTTAAATTACCTTGAGATGAATTCCGGATTGGATTCCTCCTTACCTTGTCCGACGAACCACTGCCGTTATCAAAACGTTCTATAAATACCAGATTGTTTTACATTGTAACGGCTGAGGAAATTAAAAGAAACGTCAACATCTTGCAATACTTGTTCTCTATCGGTTCAAATATTTATAGCATTTAAAATACTACTCAACTACTATTGAAGAAGCTGTTTATTGTCTTTTTGTGACAGATAAAACTGTTTTGAAGTTCCAATAGTCTACTGAATTCATATCAACGACCGAGACGAGTAGCTGCTTCATTTTTGTGTTATACTTAAATTACTTTAGCAATCTGCTTCATCATTTCCACTGCAATTAAAATCTAGCATAATTCCAATCAAAAATACCTCTGATCCTTTGGCACTTTGCACATTTATATTACCGACAGAGGAGAACATTTCGGTAAGCGCCTGCAGTACTGTTTGTTATTTGCCCCTGGAGTTTCGAAAGAACAGAACAAATAAAGGATGACTACGAGTAGAGCTTATCTTGAATAACTTGCCAAGTTTTCAACAAATTGGAAAAACTGGTAATAGTGAATCAATGAAGATTCTCAATACGCCTGAACCAAATCGATTTGTACCCTTGCAATATCAGATAAGCTTGTGAGCCGCATTTCTACATGCAACTGAATTCGCCTCGGGGCACTCAGATTTCAACTGCGACAAAACAAGGGCGACCAGAATCACTGTATGCTCCAAGTTTGACAACGATTATCCCTGTCAGAGCTAGTCAAGTGCTCATAGTTCTTTAGTTATTTTGCCGAACAGAGCAGTCCGTTTCGATTGCCTGTATAATACCGTTCAGGATTGGAAATGTCCTCCTAAACTGTCACATCAGCAGACCTTGTGTAGTTGGGGTTCGAAGTCTAGACAATGCCAGAGCAGCGTATGGCCGAAGCAACTCCTGACCAGAGTTCCAGATTGCGGACATTGGTACCGGTTCTCTAAGGCACTTTGTGGCGGACCTATCGGTTCATGCATGAAACAACACGTTAGGACCTGATGGACTGGGAGCTCTACGACTCCACATCTGACGGAAAGTGAGTTAGAGAATGGGTAAAAAACTTGGTTGCAGGTGAATGACATCTAGGGTGTGGGTAAACAGTACGTGCGGATGCGTAATGGCCTCTTTGGTTAAATTCTGAGAGGTGAAGGTGTGTGTTTGTGCGTGCGCAAGTGCGCAGGTGCGTGCTTGACAATGTATAGGCACAAGCACTCATACCATACAATCTGAGTGTCTTAGATTGCAGCCCATATTTCAGTGGAGATGAACCTGTGAGTATACAGTGAGCATGTGTAAGTGTGTCTGTCTGTCTGTATCAGCATACTATTGAGTGTAAATGGATGAGTTTTGAAAACGCGCGCAGCTACAGTGTGTAACCACATGCACACCAATTGATGCAGACCGTAGTCAAGCTGACGCTTGGTAATGTCAAACGACTTCTTATTGGTCTCAGAGCAGCACCATATAAGGCAATGCGAATAGGATTATAAATATTGTACCATACTACCGTCAAGTAGCATTCACCGTGTACGACCGAGGCATTCAAGATGGCAGAAGACGAAATTACCGCGCTCGTGATTGACAATGGTTCGGGTATGTGCAAAGCCGGTTTCGCCGGAGACGATGCTCCCAGAGCCGTGTTCCCATCCATCGTCGGGCGACCAAGACACGTCGGTGTCANTTTTTAATCTGACTGTTTCGTTCAGTTTCCAATCTCTGACTTTCTAAGCTGAAATGATAATGAAATCTGTACGCATATGAGCAAAAGACATAAACATTTTTGTTCGAAATCTATCAACAGTATGCAAATAGTTTCTATGGTTAAAAACCGCAGTGCTGTGTGTCTGAGTTTGCGCATGTCAGTGCAAGAATAAGGCGGGTCCTTGAAAAAAGGGTTACTCTATAGTTTGACATTGCATCCACTCCGAGTGAAACACAGACAGTAATGCATCGAAAAAGACACAAACAAACAGAAACACCAAACGACCTGAGTCGGAATGTGTGCGTTTGTGTACGGATTGATCCCCGGGGTCATAGACAGACAAATGACCGATGTGTTATTTCCGGTTCAAAGTGCGAACAAGCACGGTTGTACCAGTCTCCGTCGGTTACCGTGGCGGTAACGTAGTGACGGGGGTGAGGTGAGAGGGGAGGGGCGGTTATGTGGCGAGTTTTCTCTCCATCTGTGTGCCTTCCGGCTGGTTCATGGTGAAGCCAACAGGAATGAAATAAATATACTGGAACCTGGGGTACGTGACATTCCATTGCAAGAAAACTGTAAGCAATAGCGAAAGTTGGATATGGAAGATGAAGAGCTGAGCGCTTTGGTAATCGACAATGGTTCGGGCATGTGCAAAGCCGGTTTCGCCGGAGACGATGCTCCCAGAGCCGTGTTCCCATCCATCGTCGGGCGACCAAGACACGTCGGTGTCATGGTCGGTATGGGACAGAAAGACAGTTATGTCGGTGATGAAGCTCAATCGAAACGAGGTATCCTCACCTTGAAATATCCCATCGAACATGGGATCGTTTCCAACTGGGATGACATGGAAAAGATCTGGCATCACACATTCTACAACGAATTGCGTGTCGCACCGGAGGAACATCCAGTCCTATTGACGGAGGCTCCGATGAATCCGAAAGCTAACCGTGAGAAGATGACTCAAATCATGTTCGAGACGTTCAACACTCCGGCCATGTATGTGGCTATTCAAGCCGTGTTGTCTTTGTATGCCTCGGGTCGTACAACTGGTATTGTGTTGGATTCCGGAGATGGTGTGAGTCACACTGTACCAATCTACGAGGGTTACGCATTGCCACACGCTATTTTGCGTTTGGATTTAGCCGGTCGTGATTTGACTGACTACCTGATGAAGCTGATGACAGAGCGCGGTAACTCCTTCACGACCACCGCTGAGCGAGAAATCGTTCGAGATATCAAGGAGAAATTGTGCTATGTCGCTTTGGACTTCGACCACGAGATGACCACAGCTGCTCAGACATCCTCCCTGGAGAAGAGCTATGAGTTACCTGATGGTCAAGTGATCACTATTGGAAACGAACGATTCCGTTGTCCCGAGGCCATTTTGCAACCAAGCTTC